GCAACGCGGCACTCTGCTGCATTCACGCTTCCCCGCTTCCTGCGAGTGGGCCTCGGCCACCACTGTGCCTCCATTCCGCGGGATTGCTCCCTACTTGGCTGCCTTGGGCAGGAGCTAGTTTGTTGCAGGCCACTGCGTTCGGGGCCACAGCCTTAACCTGCTCGCTGGGAGCTGACCCAAAGCTGGCAGGCACTCTCATCCAGCCCTGCCCTTCCCCGGGGTGGCTCCTGTCCGCACCTCTGCACAGCAGTCCCTGTGATAATCCTCCCTTTTTCCTCCCCCATTATACCAGTCGTTGCCCCCGGGACACCACAACAGTTGCTTTATTGGAGGCCACACTGATCACAGCACAGCAGAGACACTGTAAGAGATGCAATTAGCCTGGCACAACCCCCTTCAGAAAACCAATATGGCCCTTTTATTCCATTTACTTTGCATCATTCTTTCCCTTTAGAAATGGGAGTTCAAAGCCCTGCGGAGGACAGGGGCCAGGCAGGCCAGGGCTTGCCCAGACCCACGTGCGCTGGCCTGTAATGGGCAGAGTGAGAAGGTTTTTGTTCCTGCTGCACACGTTCCCCAGACGGGCGCTGAAGAGCCATACTCTTGCCTGGCCCTTGAGCTCTGTACACAGCTTGGTATAGGCCAGCACTGGCCACCATCCCCTCCCTCCTCTAAGCCAGGAAGTGGGGAGGCAAGGCCTCAGACCTGCCCCTGGCAGGGGCAGCACCCCTGCTGCCCATCGTGCTGGCCTCAGGGCAGCCCCAGGAGCAAAAGCCCAAAAAAGCTCCAGCCTTAGGGTGAAGGAGCTGGAGGCAGCTGGCAAAAGAGGGAAGAGTCAAGGTCTGCGTTGCAACAGGCAAAAAATTCAACGCTGTCTCTAGGATGGTGCAGGTTTGTGTCCCTGCAGCTCACTAGTGCCTGTTGTGCATCCTGCATAGATGGTTCCTCTTACCCCTTTCTGTGTCTGCTCCCCCAGCCTGGCCCCATGCTCCAGCAGCAGAGGAAGGTGTATTAGATTCAGCCAGTTCCTTGGAGACTGGAGCTGCTGCCTGTGGCTGACCTCTCTGTGTCTGTAGGCTGCACCTGATGGCTGGGCGGGTTCCCCTGGGCACAGACCGGGCAGCAGTGGCAGGTGAGATGGAAACCACCTTCATTGAGAATCTCAGATACGCTGCTGACCTCCTGGCCCAGGTAAGTGGATAACATCCTGCCCCATGGGTGCAGTTCCAAGTACCAAGGATGGAGAATCCCCCACCAGCCTGGCATGGGGAGGGAGCTCTCCCTGCTGCAGAGGTGGCAGGATGCTCCACGAGGTGACATTACTCTGTTACAGGAAGACATGATCGGACTGGTGGAGCCTATTAACAACCGCCTCACTGACCCTCGCTATTTTCTGAACACCCCGCACCAAGGTAAGCAGACATCTCTCCCCGAAGTCTCCTTCAAGAGAGGAGAAGGATCCCCAAGGTCTGAGAGGCAGGAGGTTGCCTCACCTGCAGGGAGATGCTGAGGGAGCACAGCTGATGAACAGGAGTCTCAGGGCTTCACCACAAAGCTTTCAGCCTGGGGGTGACGGTCTCTCATTTCTTGCACCCTTAGCTGCTGCCATCCTGGAGAAGGCGGGACGGCCCAACCTGAAGCTGCAGATGGTGAGTCAGCATTGAAGATCTCCAGGGTCCGCCCGCCACCAGGGAACCTTGCACAGGCCCACAGGGGCATCCCAGGGGCTGTGGGCTTGTTATCCCCTCCCTGGGGACTTGAGGAGGGACAAGGAATGTAGCACAGCTGTCTTTGTTCACTGCTGAACAGCTGCCCCATCCATGTCCTCTCTCTCCCACAGGATCTCTTTCACTGCCAGATCATGGATGGCAATTTGTCACACAACCTGGAGACGTACTTCCCACTCATCGGTAACGCCCTGCACCCAGACCGGCTCCTTTGTGGCCATAGGGCAAGGAGGGGCTTTGAGATGAGGCCATACTGCCCCACGCTCTGTCTGGCATGGGACAAGGGTCTGCTCTCAGGTCACCTTGTCCCATGCCTAGAGAAGGCTGCAGGCAGGGCTGCCTTGGGCAGAGCTTCTCCCCTTCCCTCCCTAGGTCATATCCAGATTGCACAGGTGCCAGGGCGGCATGAGCCAAACAGCCCTGGGGAGTTGAACTTCCCCTACATCTTCAAGCTTCTGGAGTCCCTTGGCTACACTGGCTACGTGGGGTGTGAGTACGCTCCAAAAGGTGAGTGGGCCTGTGGGTGGTCTGAGCCCCATGGGCAGGTCCCAGCATGGACCAGTTGGCTGTGGACTGTGCAAAGGCAGGCATGTTCTGGGGGGTGGCATCGGGGTCCCTACCTGGGGACGAGAGCCCTGCCTGGAACAGCAGCTGCTCCAGTTTACCTGGGGGTGCCAGCAGGAGACCTTGTCTGTCACTGCAGGAGACACTCTGGAAGGTCTGGGCTGGCTGCACTTGTACTGGGATAGCCGAGGCCTGCAACATGGTAGGACCAGCAAGGCAGCAGAGTAAAACAAGGAAAACACTGGAATAAAAGTCAAAGCAATGGCTTAACTGAGGAGCATTGTCTTCTCTATGACTTGGGGCAAAGTTAGGAGCATCTATGTCCTATTGCCCTTACCCAGGCCCTGCTGAGCCAGCCTAAGTAGTTGGACCCTCATCTATTCAAGCACCATCAGCAGCAGGTCATATTTGGGGATGGCTTGGGCACCGCTGTAGTAGGTGACTTGAGGTGCACAGGAGCACCTTCACCTCTCCTCTGCAGTGGTGTCCAGTCCTCTCTCAGTTTCCAGTCCCCCATGTTGAGGGGAGCATTCACTTCTTGGGAAGGACATGAGTTTTCCCAGTCCAGCTGGTGCCTGGAGTTGTGGGAAGAGAGCTTTGGGCTTCCAAATCCTGCACTTCTCAAGGCTGCTGCCAGTGCCCAGCACTGAGCCTGTAGCAGGTGGGGAGAGTGAAGTGAGCAGCCTGCCCAAACCAAGGTAACAGGCTGGGGGCTGCCTGCCCACGGACACTTGGGGCTGACTGCCCTGCTGCTCCTGCTGCAGAGCAAGTACGAGACTCCAGTGCAAACCCAGCCAGCGCCGCAGCCAGGGTCACCTCTGCAGCCCCTTTGGGAGGCTTTCCCCATCCTAGCCTATGGCACGTGAGTGGGGATCTCGTTCAGTTTATTTCACAGATATATCAATGGCTTTAATGTACATCCCCATAAAACCTTCCCCTGGTCCAGTTCACCCTTCCTGTCCCACTTGGTGCTCTCCTGATGAAAGCAGAGGGCTAAAAGTGGGCAGCCTCACTGCTCAGAGCCCTGAAGTCCAGGAGTCTTTCCACCTAAAGCCAGAGCACTGTGCAGTGCTGCCCTGTGCAGAAGATGTGCTATGTGTGCTCCTCCATGCCTTCCCGGCAGGCAGAACATGCCTGCAGATGCCAAAGCTGTGTCCCTGAGAGCTGCTCTGCTTCAGACAAGCCACGGCAGCCAAGCTCCTGCCCTTACAGTTCAGTTCAAGGCCATTCAGTATCAAATCCACTGAAAATGGTACACCAAGGGCCATGCCAGCCAGCCAGCAAACAGAGGCGCACAGCCCCAGGCACCTCAGTTCGGTAGCCATGCGTGCCAGTAGCTGTGCTGACTGCAATGCCGGAGCACAGGTGCCCCCTGCAGAGGCCTGTTCTTCCCCATCGCCACCCACGGCACAGCCACGCCGAGAGGTCCGGTACGTGTGTCACTCCACAACATGGGTGCCAGTGCTAGAGCAGGCCTGTCCAGAGGTTGAAGCAGGCGGTGTTGATAACTGACTCCAGGTGGTGGTATGTGGACACAAGCTGCGGCAGAGGGCTCTCGCTGTTCTGGGGCTGCACTGGGAACGGCTCCCGGAAAACCACGGTGAGGCTCTGCTGAGGAGAAGAGGCAGGTCAGGGGACAGGATTCAGACGAGCACGGTGCAGTCCCTAGCCCAGGTGCATGGGCACTTGCTTGGCCATGTTGGGCAGATGCTGGGAAAAGTCCCAAAATGCCAACGGCACTAACCTAGTGCCTCCTCCCAATTTTCCTGGTGGAAAACAGGTGCCAGGGCTTGCCCACTCCTCCTGTCCCAGCCCCCACACATCTGCAGTTATACCAACCCCAGCAGCAGCCTCAGGAGAGGAGGGGATCCTACTGCCTCCACAGTAATAGGGGCTTCCAGGGAAATTAGAGGGAAATTTCTTCTTCTAAGGCGAAGAGTAGGAGTGCAACAAATGGGGAAGGGGAGGAGATTAAACGTAATAACTGCAATCCTAAAAATAAATTCTAGCTGTTCCATTCTTATTAGTGACTGTACTGACAAGGCAGGGCAAGGGCAGAGGGGAGCAGAGAACAGGGTTCAGAAGAGAAGGTTGCAGGAACTGAAGCGGAAGAAAAACGTGAGCAACTCAGTGCACCATGATCAGTGTCATGGTGGCAAGACACAGGGACTGGATGTTCTCCAGAGCGGACATGTAGCACATCGAGTAGTCAGGGTCCCCTAACAAACTTGTAAAGCCATGAGAACAGCTGTGTAACTGCAAAACAGCAAATGCACCACCATCATTTAAGAGGGAAGAGACAATTATTTGTGAGCGTAACTCTGGCAGCGTGCAAGGCTTTAGAGCAGGCTTGGAGAGAAAGAACCATGAGGAAAATGCAGCCTTGTGTTACCAAACTGATGTGCTAACGCTAGAGTTCTCTTTGATAAGGTAATATTTCTAGACAAAGGAATCATGGTATATCTTATCTGAGCTTCAGGAATAGTGCCTGATATAGTGCCACATAGGACATTTAAGTAATCTGAAAAGATAGGAATTAACGCAAAAATTAAGGTGAAGATGGTAGTGCTGAAAGGGGAAGGCTGGAGAGAGGTTACAAATGGAGTTCCTCCAGGACAGGTTTTGGGACTCACGTTGCCTAGTACTTTAATGAGTCTGGCACAAAGATGAGGAGCATGCTGATAAAATTTGAGGCAATAATACAAAAGAGGATTGGGATAATGCAAAAAAAGCCTTAGAGACTCTTGAGAGGCCACAGGAATGGGATGAATATTAAGCGTAAAATACAAGGTGAGGAACGGAAAAGATTTCTGTTACAAGATGGGAGTCACTGGGAGAGGTGATGGGAGAGTCTGGGTGTATCATATCAATGACCACAAGGTGACACTATGACCAGTGAGACATGACCATGAAAAGGCAAATGCCACCCTAGGCTGTACCAGAAGCACCAGGCCGGGACAGAAAAGCCTTAGTTGCAATCACAGAAGGCTCTGCTGAGACTCCTCAGGAATACTGGGTGCAGTCCTGGCCACCTGTATTTACAAAGGCTGACCTGAGCCCTGAAGAGCTCTGAAGGGCTCTGAACGACAATGAAGCCATGGGAGAAGGGAAGGCAGCTTGAGAGCTCAGCTTGCTTAACACAGTAACACGGAGTTAGCAAAAATTCCACCTTTAGATGTAGAGGTGAATCTAGGGGACTGGGGAGTAAGCAGGTACCCACACAGTGAAGAGCAGTTTCAGCTCTGAGCTACTACAGGCATGAAGAGGATAGAATTGGCCACCACAAAAGCTCCAGCACAAAGTGGGAAGGTGCAGCACATCAGGTGGCAGGAGGCCCTGAGCAGCCTTCTAGCAGGCACCATCTCTTCTGTCTCCCCTGCCTGCTTTTAAGATGGAGTGTGATTTATTTACAAAGGGATCAGTTATGCTGCAGCCTCTGCAAAAGAGTCATTGAGAACTGAAGCATCTTGTAGATCCTCTGCTCTCACACGGAGCTGCATTCCCTGTAACCCATCCTATTCCCTGCCTGGGAGCAGAGCTGAAAGCAGAGTATTTTTGCCCTCAAGTCTGATGAACGCCATGGCCTGAGCAGGTTTGCTGTGACCCTCGCAGTGCAGGTCCCTTTTCTTTCTGCCCAGGTAAGAGCAGCCCACAGCACTAGTGACCCCTGCCAGCCAGACCCAGTGAGCTCTGGCTTTGGACTGAATAGAGAAGCCTGGATAGACAGACAGCTGAGAGCATGATCCAAAAGCAACCCTGTGAAGGAAAAGGGGATCAGCTGCTCACCATTTTCCAATCCAGAAACAAAGGGGCATCACATGAAAAAAGCAGAAGGAGGTTCAAAAAACAAGCCAAGGAAGGTAGCTCTTCACCTACATTGCAACTGCATCATGGAGCAGCAAGTCAGGGGAAATCATGGATACCACAAATTAACCAAAGGAAATAAAGCTGCAGAGGGCTATTAAATAAATGCAAGGGCCACCACTAGCTCAGGACAGGCCTGGGCCACAGTTTGTCAGATGTTGGAACAGTAATTAGGAAAGGTGTTATCAAGCTTCTTGACTTGCCCTTATTCTCCCCATGGACATTTGCCCTTGGCAACTGCCGGATGAGTCTAGACAGACTCCCATTTTGGCCTGAGCCAAAATAGCTGCTCTTATGTTTCCAAGTTCTTACCGTCTTTCCTGAATGGGAATCAAGAAACACAAGAACAAAGCAATCCGTGAACTTCTGGTTGAGCACAACCTGTCAAGAGAACCACAGCACACATTGCAAAGGAGACAGCACAAACCCCAGAACAGGGATACGAACAACACCCACCCAGGGACATGCTGATGTGCAGGACGAGTGGCATGATAGAGCTATGAAGGTGCAAGTCTGCCTGGCTCACAGGTGACAGTGCAAAACCATAGGGCTATACATAGCGTGAGGGTTTGGGTGTAAAGTGTCCTGCTTGCCTGGGGCAGACAAACAGATGCTGCTGTACCACGGGAGCACACACCTCACGCTGCACCAGTAGCAGAGTGGAGTACAACATCGTAACAGTGAACACATTGTCTTGGCAGCACACACCAGGCTCACACCACGAGAAGCCACAGCAGGCAGGGGCCCTGGGCAAGGGAGAGAGGCTGCAGGTGGGCAACAGGCTGTGTCTTACCAGATACTGGGTGCCAGTTTCAGCGTTGTGGAAGTGCCGACAGCTCTGGGGAAAGCGGCTCAACAGCACTTTGATGAGGCTCTGGTACCAGGAGACTGTCATGGTGAGGAAGCATCCCTGTGGGCATGGAGAAGGGCTGATTTCAGCCTCCCTCTAGTCATGGCACCAGCAGCTGTAATGCTACAGTAGCCTTCAGACCCCAAATCAGATGCATCCATCACAGCCCACTGACCCAAAGTTACCCACTCTCCATAGACATGTCCATGCAGCCTCCCCCTTTCCCTGTCAGCTAGGAGCTATGTTCTGCCTCCATCTTCCCACCAAACAGGAAGAGATGGGCCCTGCAGGCCCTTCAGCCACTCCCCCACTCCCTCCCCAAAGCAGAACAGCGGCTGCTGTGCACTATCACTCCATCCTTGCTGCTCACCAGCTGGGGGTCGACATCAGCAATGGATTTCCCATGCACGGCGTCGAGCAGCTCCTCCAGCTCCACCAGCGAGAGCTTGCCCAGCTTCAGCTTGTCAGAAGCCAGAGGCTCCAGGAGAAAGAGGCGCTTCCAGAGGTTGTCCCTACGGCAGTGGCACTTGGCCAGCTGCACCATGCTGCT